TATATATATCGTATATATATATATACGATATATATATATATATATATATGTATGTATGTATGTGTGTGTATACTTGTATATATGTATAAAGACTATAAAGATTAAACATATAAGCGTGTTTATACAAATTCATGTATCCGATGCTTCATTTATACTCATAGGTTTGTGCGTCTGCTTCTTTGTGCATCTGTGTGCGTGTGTGCGTGTGGGGTAAGTTTCTTGCATGATATGTGACTGCATCACGTGCTGGTGCAATGTAGCTTGTGTTTTGCCTACAGAGGTTGGATACACCGGTATACCCTGGCTCTCTTGCATCGTAGCAAAGAAACATTCATGTGCTCGCCTGCGAGGCTTCACCCTTTAAATGTGTACTGCCGTGCTTTCTTCTTCTGCTTGATTCATTGCCTTACATCGCATGATCCCTCAATCGGCATGAGAAGCATCAACCCATCTCAAAAACTGATTCCCAATCCTGAGTTCCGATAAAAACGGTGTAGCTTTGGACCGTCGCCGTCTCTTGGATCTGTAGCTGCAAGCGACGACCGTATCTCGCTTTGATCTGACAACCAGCTGGAGGTCATCTCCTGTTTCAGCCTACAGGCTAGTTCGAACAAGATGTTTGGTTAAGAGTAGGGGCCTCGTCAGTCCCCCAATGCCAGATGCAGCCCTGTACGGACACCGCGGCAGCAAAAAAGATAAGCTGGGCTCTGCTTTTCCTGTTGCCTCCCAGCAGATTCCCCAACACACCGGCTCTCAAACTTTCCACACACGGCCCTCCTGCAGCCTTCGATTGTTGTTGCCGGTGCACGAAGCATCCCTGTGGTAAGGTTAATTGCTGGGGCCGCTGGTACGGCTAGAGTGAGCATCTGCGTCACTATCGTCAGCTCCAGCGTCAAATGAACCTTCGTCATCATCATCGTCAGCATGCCAAGGACTAGCCTGCGAAGACGGATGGTGATGGCGAGCACAGTCATAGTAGGATACCGTGGACATAGTCGAAGCACCGGCCACAGCATTCATCATACTAGTAGCAAAGAACAGCTCGAAGCCGAGCAGGAAAAGTCGTAGTCAAACAGCGTCAACATCCTCAAAACCTTCTGCTCATAATCTGTCAGAGGGTCCCTGGACCCCACACCTGCCGATTATGGTCATGGGAGCCAGTGTCAACCCCACTCCAGAGTCACTCAAAATGCCCAATCCGAATATCCCACAGGCTCTCATCCTGGAGATGCTTCCGGTTTTTTGTGGTACAGCGTTTGCAAACACAGACCCCTCAAACACTAAGCCTCAACCCCGAAGCTGAAACCCGCTCCCTGGGGCGGCTGCAGCTAGGGCAGTGATATGTCAGAGAGCGCCGGAGGCGAGAAGCGTTTCAGAAGCAGGGAGCTCAGTACCTCGAGTGGCCGAGTGAATGCTAGCTGCCGCATGTCGCGTGTAACGATAAGCAGGCGAAAATCAAGCAGCTACGGCTGGCGCCTAAGCTTATTGACCAGTCTTGAACCTCCTCTCTCAAAACTTTATTCTCGACCAAACACTTACAACGTCACTCAAGCCCTGAATCCTGATCTCGCGTCTGCCAGCATTCCCATCATTCCTCAAATATTATGACCGTCACTGCGACTCTCGCCATTTCTACTAGTGCTATCATTATACCTTCCTTCATCCGACATAGGTTCCCGAGCTGTCCAGCCGGTCTGAAACCCCTGTTTAAACACTTGAAGCCGAATGCTGACTCTCGCAGGTTTAGGGTGGTGTGGGCTTGGAGTTCAGAATCTTAAGCATGACTTTTCAATCATGCTGATTTCGAGAACACATTTACATACTTTCCTACCAACCACATAGCCGGAACTTGTACCGTATCGGACCGAGACACGACGAAAAGTGATGAGCCCAACATGAGGACGCAGGCGATCTGCGGAGTCATGACCCTGGGCAATTGCTGCTTTTACGAATGTCTATTGCTTCAGGGTTGAGGGGTATTTACAGCTTTAGGGCTGAAGGTTTTGGAATTTGGGTTCCTCTTGGCTGCTGCTTGGCGGCTCGAATGCAGACTCCGGGTCTAGTGAGTTTCGGATTTTGCTGCTTAGGCTGAATCTTCTCACGGGGTGCTGAAGTCCGAAGCCACCTTATGAAAGCTCCGGGCAGCCAAGACTCACATGCTGGCGCCAGAAGATCCCGGAAGCCACGGGAAGGGCACAGATGTTGAAAAGGAATGCCCACCTAGGGCAAGTTGGCTACCCTCAGGCCGAATTAAGACTTTCGGTCTTAAGATCCAAGGCCCTGCAGACCAAAGGAAGGACCGCACACCACACAGCTTGGTTCGGAATGTAAGCTATTCCGCGTTTCCGGTCTAGTCGATCAGAACCCACAATTCCGACTGATTTGATTCCAGCGGCATGAAGTTGAACCAAATGGTGTTGAGCGTCTCCTGCAAAAGCGGCCGGATGCCATGGCTGAAGGATAGAGGCTGAGATCCGAAACCTCCAACCCGGAACTCCTGCACATCTCCCATTCGGGCACACCGGCGAGAAAAACAAATCTGAACATTACGGTTCAGGGGTTGTGTCAAAGTGGAATCAGGTGCGTATGCGTGTTCATCCGAGACGATTCGAGTGCATCGGGCCCGGTGACCGGTGCTTGAAAGAAGCCCATCTACCCCCGGTCCTCAATAGCCTCCAAACCCATACCGGAGAAGCACTCGACCCGACTCTAGCCACCTTGGACAGTGCCAGGAAAGACAGCAGGTCGGAGAGCTCGCTGCGCACCAGCACGATGTCCGCCGCGTCCACCGTCACCTGGGCTTGCTGTTCGCCACGGCTTTTGTGAACGCCCGCACCGGACCGGATTGTAACGCCAGTCATATATGCCCGAAGACGGCGCATGGACTGTCGCACGTTCACGCGTTACCGCACTCAGCTTTTAAGATGGTCCTAGGTGCTCAGGCATCATCAGGACTACAGCAGCATCGTCAGAATAATCATGCCAAAACAGCCGTGGGAAACAGAAGGGTGTGTTTTCTGTCGGTCCCATGAGTGTCCATCGCCTGCGGCTCCCGCGGGCACTGTTAGTTAGGGCTCCGGTTGTGGGCGTTCCCTCTACTGCACCTTGGAACATCGCAACCTCGCGGAGATTTGGAGCAACAGCCACGGCGACAATTCATCGCACCTCTTATCACGTTGGGTGTGCTGAAACTTAGGGTAAGATGCATTCTGCCCAGCGCCGATGGCGACACCCAGGTCAGCTGCAGCCAGGGCCGGAGCATCGTTGATGCCTGAGATCTGGTGTACTCGGCAGAGCTGCTTCCGGAGGATCTGAAAACTCGTGCAGCATTCGCTTCAACTGGGACAGTGCAGGATCTCTGCTGACCCAAATCCTGGAGACTCCTGGACAAACTGCTAATCTATGCAGCATTCGGGTATGCATATCGCAATGCCGTCCTTTCTCGACCATCTCCTGCCAATATAACCCAACAACCACCGTTGACGATCACACGACAGTCGGTTGTCCAAGCGCCATCCCCGACCATGGCCACGGTGGCCACACTTCGCTGAGGCGAAGCTTGCTTGCCTTCCGCAAGGAAAAGCAAAAAGTCCACTATACCGAAGTGTCTGCAAGCAATGAGAAAAATAAATTCCTGGAGTTTCGGTTGCAAATGGAATTCTAGGACTTGCGATGGCCGGGGGATTCGCGGAAGAATGCCCTGAGTGGCTGTGAAAGTTGCTGCTGCCCAAAATGGACAGCTTGCCCGCTTTACGCTGATGTCTGTGCGGCTCAACTGCTCGAATGCTGTTCCTGCTGCTACATGGAACCTGGTGCTAGCGACGAATACAAGTAACATCAACAATCTGCAACCATTTCTAGTGCGCATGCGCAATGAGGATTAAAGAAGAGTGGGTGGCTTCTCAGCAGGTAGTGGATTGGTGTCTCATGTCAGGGTGGGCCCACTTCATCCCGGAGCGTCCTGGAAGGTCAGTGTCGCCGCCCTGCAAGTACTTCACGACCCGGACTTTGTCTGCTGGCAATGCCTGCGCAACCTCGGTTGCAGGGGCAAGGGTTCGGATGAGTCGCAAGTTCTTGTTTGCCTCATGCATTGCCAGGGCTTGCCAGTGTTGTGTTTTAGGCCTGATTGCCGCACCGGCTCAAATGTGTGAGCTTCAGCATCATTCGATTATGGGGGCGATTCGCCTGTAGTCAAGTAGTAGTGGTACACATCGCAATCGTAGCAGTAGTCATAGTCGTTATCGGTCGTCGTCCTAGTAGTCGTCGTCTTCGGCAGTAGTAGTAGTAGTAGTAGTAGTAGTAGTAGTAGTAGTGGTAGTAGTACATGGCGCGCCCTAAGGCCCGAAGGCACCCCCCTGGCAAAAGGCAGCCCATCCCATTGTGACGCGCCAATCTGCGAAAGGCACCCCAAAATTGCGAAAGACTCGTGAGCGACGTCTAGTTTTGAGAAGTGTACCAAAACATGAAAACGTGCGCGTTGCATTGGGCATGGTTTACTGTTTTGGCGTCTGCTACGTTACACGTGGCTTAAATCACCAAGTAGACGGCCCGGCAACCACGGTTGCAAAATACTTTCATTTTGCAAATGGGCGCCTAGAATGCCTAGAACAAAGACACGGAGATACAAATGATGTCACATACCAGTAGCTGTTGGCCTGGGCAGCAGTCGACTATCACGGGCAATGGGTCTGAGTTGGTGACATGAAACTGCCCCCGAACGATAATCGCACGATGCCCGGTACGATGCCCGGTACGATGCCCGTGTCCCCCTACATGCCAACAGATCCCTTTTCGAATTAACTACCAATTAAGCGAATCTTGAAGTGGATGCAATTGTAATGTTCCTCAACACATGTATGCTGCAACTACAACTGGACGCCTCGATTACAACTGATACGAAAAATCAGGATATGTGCGGACATACGCAATCACCAAGGTGACACCCCTCGCTGAACGCCGTTTACATACCCGGGACGCCTGAAGACATTCATCCTCGGTGCACACTGTTACATTTATGGTTCTTTACCTCCCGCAATGCTAGGTCCAGGATGCCTCACTGAAGGGCTCGGGAAACACGACTAAAAAATCGCAAGCGGGAATTTTGTGCTCAGCGCTGCTCTGAGTGACCACCCGTGACTGCTGGATGCCGCACTCCCGAGCCACAACCTGTCAGAGGAGTTCAGAACAGGGATTCTGATCAAAGCCACTTAATCTTTGACAACTCGAAATGGAAGGTTTCGACTCTCACTCTCGTACGAGGGAGGCGAAATGGAAGGCGGGAAGCTTTCGATCATCGCCTCCGTTAACTGCGCTTCGGGAATGTGATTGCCAAAGCCCTACACCCAAAACTGTCCACTGAGGTGGGATTTGGACCCAACCGGTACCGTGCTCTCTTGGCAAGACAACACCACCATCCCAGAATAAAAAGCCAAGACACACTGGAATGCGCAACAAGACTTCCCTAAACACATGTCCAGACTCTGCTACTTTTGCACAGTCGAATCGTTCTAGCCGTAGGCCAGTACCCAACTCTATCATTACCTGCATTCCAAAGTGCCTCGTTCAAGCAGAGCTCCGAAGCCAAAAGGCGAGAAACCGGCATTGCACGTGTGTACACCATTTTCTGTTTGTGTGTGTGTGTATATACTGACCTTCTATATTAATACACACACATCTGACTACACTTGTGATGTCATATGCATACATGTTCGGCCTCGGCGGACTTTCGGTGATCTCCAGTGCACATCCAGACCTCACGGAAAGGGGTTTGCGGGCTTCCTGTCGTAAAACTTGTTTGCAGGTTGCTTGAAGCAGGGCGGATGTCCAGGGTTTGAAACGTGGAGTGTGCGGAGTTGGCACTTTTGGAGCTAGTTGGTGTTGAACCATGGCTGCCCTACGATCCCCAAGGCACGCAAGCCAACCCCACCATTGCTTCGACCCCGGGATCCCGAGAGTCTCTTTCATCTGGAACTTGAGAACTTCCAACCTTCATGTATTCGAGCAAGCTCAGCACTCGTTTGACAGGGCCACTGTACTTTTGAACAGCCCTTCAGCTAGTTCCAGGAATGGGGATGTAAACTGTTGAGGTGAAGCGTGGATTGCAGCAGCCTTGTTTGGCCAAACCAACTCCACGTGGCCTCCCGTGGAATGCTACGAGGTACTACTGTATGTGTGTACAACGCACACACACACACACACAAAAGTGTATATACACTCGACCAGGTCAGGCGAAGATCCCGGAAGCCAAAGCCACACTAGCAGATCTAGGCATTGCCAGACACAACCAACTATTCACAGCAGATCGCTCAGGGAAACAAGGAGGTGCCAGTAATATATATATATATATAAACACATACATATACATATGTATGTACATACATACAAGTGTATGTGTGTATGTATATATATATATATATATATGTGTGTGTGTGTGTGTGTATATATATATATATATACAAACTTGTACAAAAAACACATCTATACCTGCTTTTAGAAGCAAGCATTGTGCCATATCTGCATATGCTTGTATGAAAACTATCGAGCGTGCACGAGGATGCAGATTCAGACAGATATTCCGTAGCTTATCTTTGTGCTTTTCTTCATCTGCCCATTTCTGATGTATGGAAACCCAAGAGACTATCCCAACATACGATCAAGCCATTAAACAGATACATGGGCTACGTAGTAGGGCATCCTTCCGCTTCGGGCCTCCACTCCCGACATCTCCAAGTGCGCAACACACATCCGCGCGCCTGGAGCCTCGACTTAAGAATGAAGGAGCAGCAGAACAACTAGAACTAGACGAAGCTTCGACTCTCACAGCTTGGCGAACTTCATCAAAGATTAGGGCCGATTAGGGTTGAAGGCCTACTAATGGGGCGAAGGTCTGAGCCTCAGCCCAGATACTGACCCCTCCACGCATTGTACATGGTGCAACGCGGCTCTCATTCAGGGTGGCAACATTCAGCTGGGTGTTTCGAATCAAAACTGCAGGTGCGTGATTTTTTCCTGCTGACGCCCTGACACCCTCCGATCAACTCCTTGTCCTCGGTAAGCCGCGAAGAGCTCTAACATTTCACATGGAACGCGGGGCCAGCGCAAGCAGTCAACCCTGAGCTCAGAACACAAAGGCAACCCAGCGCCCTTTGTTTGGATCCAGGAGCTCCCAACTCACGACTTGGAAACTGCACGAAAAAAAAACTTACAGCTTACTTGAAGCTCCGGCAATTAAGGCCAAGCCAGCAATGCTGCCCGGCAACCACGGCATCGCGCAGGGCCACAGCACCGAGGACGACATCCTCCACTGCCACGGCCACCACCGTGGCGCCCTCCAACAGCTGGGCCTGGCAGGTTCCGCAACCCGAATCCCTCGCAGCCCAGCATGGCCTGAGAGGGGCCGAGCCCTGCGAGCTGCCCCGCCTCAACCCAGGCAGACAGGATCTCGGAAGGTCTCTTGCCTCGCGTGCCGGCCCCAAATCGGACGCGGGGCTCGAGCTGAAGGGGTCGTTTTTCCCGGGTCGTTTTGAGTTGAAGGCTTGAGCGGCTTGGAGCGAGTCTATGGGTGATCATTGTATGTGAACCTCCCTTCGTAGTGCAGACTTCAGGATCAGGCCTGCAACTCAAAGCAAAGTCCTTCTAGTACCGCCATTTTCGGCACTACCAGGGTCGGATCATTCGGGATCTGGAGGGGTGTTCGTTCCGCATCCTTCATTTCCCCCCTATTCGCCAGGCATCATCGCTTGAGTAGATGGTGTGCCGCCGCCACTTCCACGCAGAGGCCCTCCAAGACACAAGTCAGACCAATACCGGTCCTGATCATGGCTGGAAGAGGGTTTCGGCTTTGGGGGCAACCTGTGCAAGGAGCAGGAAGGACACCGCGACGAGAGTGATGATGGCAGGGCTTTCGGGTCAAGGTTGCAAAAGTCTTGGCACCTCCAACGTGCATCCTCTCACGAGGGTCGTGGGCAGTTTCAACTGCCTGCAGGCTCGAGCACGGCCTGAAAGGCTTGTGCACGATCCGCGAACATAAGTCACGTGCAGCAGAAGACACAACATCACGGTAAGCCTCCCAACAGCCCCGATCCTTAAAATAAACCCCTTCCGTTTCGGATCATTGAGGGCCAACACTGGCTTTTGACCTCTCATGCTTGTAGGACTGCTGATAGCCGTCATGAGCAGCAAATGGCCACATCAGCAGCAGTGGATACGAAGTCTCAAGCTGCACTGAATTGGCCAAGCATCATGCTCTCGAAGCTTGCCGGTTTGGACAGCGGTCGTCGTGCCTTCTGAGAGGCAACATCGACAAGCCTCGATGGCGACTATGCATGCTGGGCAGGGTTGGAGACATTGACACTGGGTTCTGCACCGTGGGGTAATGATGCAGCAGCAACAAACAACAACAATAACATGATAAATGTAATTTAGGGGTGAAAATGAGAATGGGAATGGGAACAAAAAAAGATGATGCTGAGCATGCTGATGATGCTGATGATGACCACTATGGCGATGATGAGGATGATTACGATGACATTGATGGCCATGATAACATGAGGGCAAGGATGATAATGATAAATGAAAATTCTTAACCCTGACAATGAAGCTGACAAAAACAATAACAAGAAGAATCAACACAATAACAATTACTAATGGTGATAGCAGTATTGCAAGTACTACTGTCAATAAGAAATGATTGTCAGCATCACCATCATGATCGTCACAATTGTGGATTTCTGGCATTGTGCTTCTTTCTTCCTGTAGCAAAGCAGATGTCGGTCTGTGGAACGACGGAAACGTGCTTTCTGGATATGTGTTCATGCATGATGCGAATTCTGCTGCCCCGTCGGAGTCGACGTATTTGACGGGGCTTGGCTGGCTCACGGGAGCAAGCCCGCTGCTGCCATGGCACTCCCTTGCGATGAGGTGCTCGCCTAAGTTGGTCGGGAGATGTAGCTGACCCATGACCTTTCAACATTCTACATTAGCCATTTAGGAGAACGCAACTGTATACCCGGAGCTGCTGTCGCGGAAGGTGACGACAGCTATTTCTCATCCCCACCTTTGAATCCTTCGTAGCCTCTACTTCAAGGATGATCCAAGGATGCCGTCCTCAGGACTATTTTCTTGGGAGGACCTCCGTACTGCTTCAAACTCAAGACCTTGAAAGAAATCCTGGTAGCACAACAGAACCTGCATACCCCCTTGAACCGTTAACAGCCTTGACAGATCCTGCATGCTTTGTATGAGAAGCCCTTGGCTGAATCTCGCGAAGCTGCAAACTACCGAAATCCCCCCACGGTTCTTTCGAAGAGCTTCTGACATTGAATGCATGTGAAAATCACACACTACATCCACAGCTCTTCTGGTCCCTTCGAGGTCAGGGGGCTCGAACTCTCCGCCGAGCCGAGAGCCCACCAAAGAGCGGACTCTGCCTGCAGATTGTTTAGACTTGGCAAGTTGTCTTGTTCTAGTGCGTTCTTTGCCTGGGGTTAGAAGGCCAAGGGGTTTCAACTCTCGCAGCTCGGCCATCCGGTCGACACAGCTTGGACATTCCGAGCGTGGCGTCTGAGTGAGCTGGTCTAGATGTCAGCCCTAACACCTGGGTACCTGGGGTTTGGGGTTTAGCGCCGCTTTGGGGTTCGCGCTTGAACTGTCACGGACACCTCATGCCTGGATTGGAGAGCCCTGCTAAGAACCTTTGTCACAAGGAATGTGGTTGAGGACATGGTTGCGGTGAGGGGTAGGGTGCGCATTCTGCATGCTTGGTTCAGGGGCGTGTGCAAATGCACCTACGTCACAGACACGGAGATAGACAACAAATAGACGCGAAAGGTAGGCAAGTAGAGAGCATGCGTCATGAACAAGGGACTGTACTATATGTCCTGCAAGTCAATTCAAGCCTTAAAAATATCACACATCTTTTTTACCATAATCCATCCCCCAAAAGCCACTATAAATCTTCCGAAAAGCTGCTCTCAAGCTTACACCCAGTGTTCATGTCACCCTTTTCTCCAGCGCCTCGGAGCGCAGGTCCTCCTTCTCCGAGACTGACCGGGATCCTGCTTTCTTACGAAAGGTCCGTTTTTTTTCGTACCATAGAATATCCCCCCAAGATTCCGGGGGGGGGATACAGTATACGTAAAAACAGGAACTTTCGTATATTATCTAAATCTACTACGAAGTATATGGGGACTGTTCATTACGGGTATGTTACTCATATACCACACGTATTATAGGAACTTACTCATATACCACACGAACTATAGGAACTGTTCATTACCGGCGATGTTATTACTAGGTTCCGTTAGGACTGAGGGTGCCGGCTTTCGGGCGGCATGGCATACAGTGTCCGAGATGGGCTTAGGGTTGGGTTCATAGGCTTTTGCGCACATTTAGGGTTGATAGGGCTTCTGGTTTAGTGGTTTTTTTTGCCTAGGGTTTAGGGTTTTTCCTGCAAACCCGTACAGTGGGTAGCTCGAGCTGTCTGGAGCCATCGACAGTTTACATTGGGTTGTGACACAGGAGGTCTGACGGCTATGACCAACCATATTTTAAACCGAACCATGTATATCATACACAGTCTTCATTACGTCATAAATCGTACATGTTTCTGTTGTTTTGATTCTGCTTATTATTTTTGGATAGGCCCCGGGAGACGTCCTGGCATGGACACCTTGAACCCGGGCGCCGGTCGAGGCGACCTTGGGGGCTCGGACACAAATTTTCAAGATCTAGATTACGATATACTAAGAATCATAATATGTATGCATGCATGTATGTATGTGTGTGAGTGTGCATATATACATATTTATGTTTATATTTATGAATCTCTCCCTCTCTCTGGGGATGATCGCTGACGTTGGGTGTAAAGTTATGAGGTCGGTCTGGAAGCTTTTTTGACAAGGAGGTATGCATGAATCCTATACCCTAGGGTTTCAGGATTCTTGCCTCAGGTTCGTTTTGCACCGTGCCTGCTCCGGCACCAGGCCAAAAGAAGCAAGCACCGGCAGAATTACGTGGCCCACTAAAGCAAGCATAGAACTCAAGCCCTAATTTAGGGCCTTCATGGTTACCCATACTATTTTGGGGATTCGTTGTTATAATTATAGTGTACCTATAACATACCCCGAAAACCTTATTCTAGTTATTATGGCCACTACAGTAAATCCCAAGATCCGCCTCGAGAGGCCGAGATCCCCGCCCCCCGAGTATACGGCGGATAAGACGGCGGTTCCCAAAGCTGTCGCTGCGTTTTGGGCTGAGTGCTGCGCGTCGGCTTGGCCTCCGCATCCTGGGCTTCGGTGCCATCGTTTCAGGGTTTGCGCCTTGGGGCTAAGGGGGTTTACGGATTCTCGTTTAGCATGAAACCTGTCCTGACCTGAAGAACGCAAGACAACCACTTGGTGTTCAGTACGGAGGCCGTCAAGGCCACGGAGCTGCCATTCATTCGAAGCGTCGGTGCCAGCGCTCACCCACGTAGTCGTCATGTCCACAGCAAAGGCCACCTCAAGGTGTTCTGCTAGTCTCACATCGGGAGAGTGCTTACACAAGTCGTGACACCCTGCACTTCAGGCACGGAATGATTGAGAAGTCAAAATCAAAACAAAATTACAGAGCCACTCTCGAAGTATCGCGGGTATCGCCTGCTTTGCCACGACTCACTGTCTCACATGCACCTTGCTCCTTTTTTGCCTCCTGCATGTACCCCTGCTCCTTGTAATATACGAATCACTTGACTCCAGATTCTGAAATCGAGTGTACCTTGGCTAGAATACTGCAAAAACCAAGTTCAACCAAGGCTTAAACTTCTGCACTTGTTCCGCGAAGGGGACCCTGTATTTATCGAACCCTATAGTACCCTTCAGGGCTCTCTTAAGGGTTCCCTCAACCGACTGCGGAGCCTTGCGGCGGGAAGAGAGCTCCTCGGCTTCTCGGAAGCGGCTCAGAAGTCTCTCCCAGCTCTGCTCCTGAGGATGTTTTTGGGTTTTGGGTTTGAGCACCAGTTTCGAACGGCTCCAGGCAAGGTTTTGGGTCACCCATGTCGGTCGCGACATCTGGCCATGAAGCCTTGGGCAGGTCACACACCTTCGCATAAGATAGCGGATAAGCCCGGATAAGCTTTCCAAGTTGAGAGAAACCGGCCTTAGCTGGCCATGCTGGCTCGCAAACTGAGGGCGCTTGACTCAATCTGTTCTGCTTCAGACACTCATGCCACGCTGCGCTTCAAACCCGGAGTCCTCTTGAGTCCATGGGCAGAGCACGGCCGAGGCAGCCGCCTTCGGTTTGCCCGTCGTCAGTGTGCCCGTCTTGTCCTCCGGGCACATTGTTTGGGCCCCGCCGAGCTTGCAGTCTGCACAAAAGCCTCTGCATCTAGCAAGATGTGCGAGGTTTTGAGGCATTGCCGGAATAAGGGTCTTCTGCAACCCTTGCTCCACTATCGTCTTTGACATTGCCAACAGCAGTCTTCTTGCTGTGGCACTCCGAGAAAGCGCTGTGCAACTTGGACACGACATCCATGAAGCTGCAACGACCGACCGCTGCCAAGTCTGCATCAAGTCTACCGCAGGGTGTGGAAACTAACCTACAGTACTGCCACCCAAGTACATATTCGTTAGGTTCTTTGGACAGTCAGGGTCTTTGGACAATCAGGGAGGAAACAGTAGCTACCGAAGAGTAGTTCTCGTACAAGGTCTAAGCATTGCACAGGGGCACGTGCATTCCGACCAGCTGCCGAAGCCGCGAGCTGAAGTTTCGGCACTGCGCACGTGAATATGAGACTGCATGCCTTCCCTGCTTACGTCCGCGATCCTGGCAAGACTTTCACGGATCTGCTTGACCCTGGGCTGGTCACCCAAACATGGAAGACAGGCGAGGTGCATGTCTAGGTAACTTCACATCACTCGTCGGGTGCACACTGCCCTTCTTTGGGCGGGCTTGGGCCGGGGTGAGCTGATTTCTGCTAACGCAGATAGATGTCAGACCGGCAATTCCGACTTCTTCCTGCTTGGCCGACAGGGAAACCTTTCTGAGGATGCTGACCCCTAAAATTTCTTCCGAAAAGCGGAAAGGTAGCGGCGAAGACTTAAGCTTGAACACTAAAGCAAGACCCCGGCAGTCCAGCACCATGCGCTGAATCTTGGAGCCCAGTTCCAGAGGGACCGCACCGGAGCGAACCTTGAGAAGCTTGCGGCTGAGGCGGTCCAGGGTCCAGAGTCTCTGAGTTCTTGTTGAGGAACCTAGTTTAAGCTATCATAGCAAGGATCTATAGTAAACAATATGGCTTCCTGATCATGGTAACATCCGGGAGTTTCGGATAGAGTGCTAAGCCTGCCTTCAGCAAGACACAGACAGAGACGGAAAGCGAGCAGACAAGAAAGGATCCATACGCTGTCTCCCTATCACGCATGAGTGTACTGCGGTTTGAGACAGGCTCTCTGCAATCCGATCCTTCTCTCTGGATATTTGTCCCAGAGTGCAGTTTCCCAACCAGCATCAACTCACGGCTGAAGCAGGTGCTGATGGATAGGGCTATATTTACGAAGGATCCTTTTCATATTCACGATCTTCATCGCGGCTGACGCTTGCCACGATATCCCTGCTATGGCCATAGGTCGGACTACCACACGTTTTGGGAGCTCTCGGACCCAGCTCAAGGCAGAAGGCGCAGCCCCTGCTTCGACTTGAGAGACATCAAATACAGACATACTGTATGCAGTATGCCATATTGGCAGGTCCGGGCGGCTAAGATCCCAAACTTCGCCGCCACCCCAGTCGCGGCCATGACTGCCGTGGGGGTGGCAAGACCTGGGGTCTTCGATTCATGGAGCCACAGAGTCACAGAGCTTGTGCAAGGGTGTTTTGGGTGGCGTCCTCGGCGTGCGGACATACCGTACAATTGGACTTAAGAGGTTCTCGCCCTCTCTGTCCAGCCCTCGCCGCCCTAAGCCCCGAACACGAGCAATTTTCGCCAATAGCAATCTGAAAGGAATGACCGCAGCAGCGGCTGCAGGAAGAACATAATACTGCTAACTCGGAGTTACAGATTATAGACAGAGGAGAAGCCAAGAAAGAAATAGGAGACAAAGTAAGGATAGGAACGATGTTTTGCAATTGTAAACGGCAACGGGAGGAGCCGGAAGAGTACAGTATGGTGAAAGGCTGTCTGTACAGCCACGACGGCACGACAGCCGCAGCAGCAGCGCCGCAGCGCAGCAGCAACGAAAACGAATGAATCCAAAGTAGATAAGTAAAATAAGTAGAACCGGCAATGGCAAGGAATATTGCAAAAGCTCTAGCTGGTGTTTTTTCAATGGCTACTGCTGTAACATGTAACCAGCCACCGCTGGGACCTCGAAGTCTATTTTTGATCCCAAGAGTCTGAAATCGGAGTTTCAAAATACAGACCACTTAAGAAGTCAAACATGCCAAGCAGCCCGGCAGAGTGACTCACCACAGTACTGCTACGGAGAAAGTTCCTAACCTTAAACACAGAAAGACTTCCGAGCTGTGCATCTCTAAGTTCTTACGAAATCATACACTTCAGGTGTTGTCCCATTCCACCCCGCAGCCAGGGATCCAAGGGCACAGGGGCAGGCCACCAGTAAAACGTTGAGGCCGTGTTCCAACACGAAGAACGCCTTCGAGCTGCTCTTTTGCCCGAACTGGAAGGCCAGGGCCATCTGCCCCCTCTTACGCAGGATGAAGCCGACAAAGAAAAGACTCCTGACTCGTTACTCTAGCTGCTACTCTGCTACTCTAGCTTTCTCGACTGTCTGGGCTTGGAATTGGAAGAGGGGGCGCTGACTGATTACCCTGCACAAAACTGGCGACGGAATACTCCGGGCCCACAGTTCGGCTGCCAATGCTCCGAAATGAAGCCTCAACACTGCACCGCAATCTCCAAAGATCCACGTTGGCCCACCATTAAGTCGAAGAAGCATTCTGTGAAAAGAGCATCCCATCCGTACGACACTTTTCGTCCCTTGCCTTGTCCAGCTCCGGCTGTGAGCTTTCGCGATTCCGGGTGATGTCGGCGAGTGTTACGGTCTGAAAGGGCTGGGCGCTAGAAACCCGAAAGCCCTAATGCATTGATGTTGTGGTTCAGAACTTCAGGATTTCGGAAGGAGAGAAAGCTGAAGCGACCACAACTCATACATGCACATAGGTATCTGCTATGTGCGGGGCTTTTTCAACAGCACAGGAAAAGACAAGGAATATCATCACATATGGTCCAAATGCTGAGGAGGCTAGGGAAAACCATGAAATACTGAAAAAAACTAAGTAAAGCTAAATAGGTCCATGGCTCCTGCTCAATGGAGCAGAAAAACTATATAATTCCTACATTCCGGGTGTACTCCCGGACGGTTCTCTTCACCTGCTAGCATGGGCTCTAAGCAAAGGGTTCATCTTGGAAAATGTTTTTTCCCTCTCGCATGAATGAGGTCTATACTCACGGCGAGGTTCGATGTGAGGTTGAAATGCTGAAGAGTTGAGAAAGAGAAAGAGAAGTTCCCAGATTTCAGGATCTTCCTGCTCCAATCAGTTCGATGGAGTACAACAACATGCTTTGTCAGCAAAATGCCGGTTAAATTCTCTCAGATCCGCAGGCTCAAAGTCATCACCGTCACAAAACTATTTGTTGTCTTCATGTCACTCGACTCCGTCACTTCTTTTGTTTGGTTGCCGCACGCCCATTTGACTTCGCAGCTGACTTTGGTTTGGCAAGTCCCAGTAGATGCTATGATGTTTCCAACCCAGCAAGCTTTTCATAGAACAGACCAAGGGCCTGTTGGTCTCGTCAGACATGTAGTGTCACGACCAGAAAAAGCTTGCTACACCAGAAACCCAAAGCATCCTCTTCTGTTCCCTCATTTCTCTGTGGCCAGAAGTCCAGTCCTTGGAAAATGTTAATTCCCTTGCTCTTGGTCTGCCCGTGAAAAGGCCTCCCACATAACAGCTACATAAGGGTTATGCTAGAACAACCGCAGTGATGTTCCGTTCAAGACGAACCGACTGGGCAAGAGCATCCAACACCGCGCGGACAGATTCCTTGTGCCTTTGAAATGTAGACCAGCACATACCATGTGACCCACGTCAGGACGCTCAGCGCCACCTCGGAAGAGAACTCAGGCACTCGCGGTTGCCTCTTTGCACACTCCTCCGAACACCCCAACAGCCTGGACCCTAAAATACTACATCTTCTGATTTGCGCTGCTTCTTCTTCGCTTCGTATGTTTTCCTTTGGGCTGATTCTCCAAAAGACGTCTGCCGGATCCTAAACCTAGCGAGTCGCCTTTCGGAGTCGAACCCTCAGGGTTTATGAAACTCAGGGTTTATGAAACTGCAGCTAGTCCGGCTGTTCATGTGCGGATAAGTACTCTGAGCCTGGGTTTCTGGCATAACACTCTCCAGGTCCCGGGCAACTGCCGGCACGAAGCGGTGGGCCACGGCATCTGCCACATGCTGTACCGGAGCGCGATTCAGCCTTGGCTGCTTCTTTCGTTGTAAATTCTGGAGGGCATCAGAGTTCGGGCATTTGTATTGTGACGCGTTTATTTAAGCTGAGGCGGGGCTTAAAGCCTGAGTTGCAACTACTGGCGTGGCTGCCGCAACATCCACTGCTACTGCTGCACAGCAGCTGTTTTCCCTGTTGCTGTTGTTGGCTTGTGCTGGTGGTGCTGGCACGATCTGGCACGTGCTGGTGCTCTTACTGTTGCTGCTGCTGCCGCAGATGTTGCTGCTGCGACTTCCATCCACTATACTATCACCACCGCGCGTGTGAGCACGAGTCCCAGCACGGGTAATTACAGTAGTTCGTTTTCGCGAAGCTTTGCATCACGTCACAATTTCAGCCGAGCAGCTGGGCACGCTCGACGAGGGCCGTAATTTGGCTCAGCAGAGTCTTGCTCCCCAGACGTTCCTGCCAGTTTCCGATTGGGCCGTCTCGCATGCGGAGCTACAACGTATGGGGCCTGTCCGCCTGCAGGAACGGAGGTAGTCAGAGCGGAAGGCTTTACAGTCTGACTGGGAGTGCGCCCAAACTTAGGTTGTTCAGGAGCAACGAGCATCCTGCCGTAGTCGTTGGGGCTTAACACATCATCTCCACCGTCTTGGCCTATGTCTTTGCAACCTCTAAACGCTTTTGCAGCAAACTTCTTCCACCTGAAGCCTGCAAGAAGACCCTTCGAATGCCTGCTATGACATGAACGCCAAGCCCTTGCCTCAGCACCTCCAACTAAATTACACCCGTCGGAAGCCGGCCGAGTGTCTACTCGAATCTCCGCTCGGCCGTTCAGGCACCTGCACCAGCACGAGAATGCTTGCTCAAGTCTACTGCGAAGGCACGAGGGAAAACTTGACTGCCGGTGCAATCAAGCTTAACCGACCACAGAAGCCAAGTCTCCTCGCGGCCCTACAAAACCAACAACACCGTCAATCGTCTACCTAGGAGTGACAATAGAAGCTCACCTGGAGCCACCGATGACCATGTCGCCGGCCCGCTTGCGCAGAGGCTTGGCCTCTCCTGGCCCAGAACAAGGGGCATCAAGACTTTGGAGCGGATTTCGGGGAAAGGGGGGGAGTGGTTTTCTGCAAACCACCCAGGTGGCAGCCGGGATCTCTCATCAGTAAGTTCATCATCCTTGCTTTTCATTCATCGCTCAACCAGGCAAGGCATAGGTAGCACAAAAAGGGTAGTTTCTGGCATGCAAGGTCACTTGTACGCAACAAGGGTGGGATGCACATGCAAGCGAAAAAAGGGTCCAAGTAACAATGCAGCAGCATCAGGGCAAAGCATAGCGGGACAGTGCAGACATGAGAGAAGAATAAGTAAGCTAAGAGCACAGGCATCAAGAGCTCCCCCGATCTTTCTTCAAGCATGCTAAGAGTAACAAATACACAGCAGCTTCACTTTATGTCAGACTCGGCAATGCTTTGCCAACCTCACATGCCACACTGATCTCTCGTTTTCGCGCTTGACTTCCCAGTCACGCATCAAGCTCCTGAAAGGAAGCCAGCGCTGTGCAAAAAGCGTGCAAGTCCGAGCAAGACGGCTACCTGAGACTCAGCACCGATGTTACAATTCACATCAATGCTGGACACGGTCCTCTGCCGCGGCTGAATCTCAGGATTTTGCACGTTTACTGCAGTTCATCCAGGATTGCATGAGACGCCAAGTCGAAGTCAGAATGGGCACCAGAATGGGCATCGAAATTGGTAAATACACGGCATATTTGAATTCCCACGAGAAGTACAGCTGTGACACCACGGAATCGTCATGGATGGCGGTCAGCGCCAGCACCAGAGCTTGCCGAGACTCGACAAGTGAAGGTAGCAAGTCACCCCTCTCGGCGGCTTCGATTGATGCCTTCGTTTTCTGGGTCGCCTTGAAGGCCATGGCTGCGATTTCCTCACGTACCTCTACATCCGGCAGGGAATCAACCAACTCGACAAGACTGCGCAACGTCTCCACAGTTCGTCTCAAAAACTGTGCATGCACTGCTCTCGCCAGGATCTCGAACTCCCAATCGGAAATCCCATCTAGCCGAGGTCTTGCAGCAAGCAATGCCACTCCGCTTCCGTCAGCGTCAACTTGCAGCGCGCCTTCAGCAACAGATTCATTTGCTGGTAATGAGAGCCAAGACCGTAGGCTGGAAATCCAACCAGAAGTCACCGTCTCTGCTTCACATGAAGTCAAACTGCGATGGAAGCTTTCAGAACCTGTCTGGTTCTCGCACGAAGCTATTGCAACTGCTCCGAAGCCTTGCAGAGCAAAGGAATGTTGCACCTGATCTCGTTCATCGGCCAACTTCACTGCGGCGGAAGGCTTGAAGGCAACCAGGCGCACCAATGGAGGCAACCATCTAGCATCGCGAGTAAGTGTGTCTGCGGGCCACTCGCCAGTCCTTCGCATGAAATCTGCCTGCAGCATGGTTGCATCCACTGTCCCGTGCGCTGGTTCAGCTGGCTCAAGTGGAGTGCCCAAGGAGCCACACTGAACAACCTGTGAATTGAGCTCGATGTCAAAAATCAGCTGTAATCGTTCAAGAAAACGGGACAGGAATGGTGAGAGTACCTCGAAGTCCCAGGACACTCGGCTTCGGCAGTCGCCCACGAGAAAGAAGCTGAAAACATAGCCGGGAGTGATCTCAAAGAGTGCCACTCCTTCATTCAGCGCCTCTGGGCGCAACCAGCTGGCCTTCAGGTGATGCGATACAGCGCTTACCATTTTCTCCATAGAGATCGCTTGTTGTTGCCACCTCACGAAAGCCCGTTTGCCAGCATCCAGGATGACAGAAGACCCGCTGTCCGAACCAATGAGTACCAGCTCAAACGTGCTGCCAAGACCAGGCGAACGCCGCCAAGCCTGCATCTCTAGAGATTCTAAGCATGTCTTCACATCGACCCCCAAACATTGCATTGGCGTACCCGTGCGGATGGAATCATCATCACGAATCTTCACGTGTGCTCTGCCACGTAGAGATTCTGATAGCACGGCGACAAACGCGTGGATCACCTCTGCGCTGAAATCGGTTTCCTCTACCGACACCTCAATTTGCACCTGTGGCCAGAGCACGGGTCTGACCAACGACTGGTCGAAGGTTGGCAATGCTGCAATTTCATCACGAGGCAGGGGAGCTCGATGCACGCTGGTAAATAAGTAGGCCAGTGCTACGCCGCTTGCAGCAATAACAAGATTGTAAAGCAACGCGAAAAGACGCAACTGCGAGGCCATTGCGGCAACGGTCTGGTTTGCCTACGTGTCTGTATCGAATCATGGCGGGTCACGGGCTTTACCTCTCATAGTGACACTGTGTGCCTGTTCCGGTGGACTTCAAACGCGAGACTGTGAAATTGCGTACATATACGATGTATACAAGCATAACCCTGAGCCGTTTCCATTGTGGGGGATTTAAGGGCTTACGGCCGTGGGCTTACGGATCAGGATATTGAAGGGGCTTGGAGTCAAGATGCCGCTTGATTTCAGTAGGTCAATTGATGGCAGTACGATTCCGCTTCAAGCCTCAGGCTAGCATGGTTGGCAGTAATCCTTCCGCACAGCTAAGCCACCCCGCCACGACCGACACGACCGCCCGACATCCGTAAAACAAAAAACATTCAACCCTTGTGCAGTTCAATTATGAGGTGTGGCATGTGCCACAAGGCATTTCTTCTGCACGTAAAGTTTCGGGTTGAACACGCCTCGGGGGGGCAAGGGCCTTCGATGAAGAGCCTCAGATCTTCTACCTTCCAGCACCCCATCACCAGGAAATGCGCATTAAACCTCCAAATGTGAAAGGACACCTTCGAACAAACACTTCGGTTTTGGGCCCCAGGAAACCTGTGAGCAGCGACTCGTCAAACTCGGCGTAGCCGAGGCCGGTCATGATCCCGTCTGTTGGTGCCTAAGCAGAGCAAGGTAGCAGATCATACACATGATGCACGGATATGTATGTCCAATTTCAGTCTGTGAGTGAAGAACTAGCAAAGAGCCTTGTTCTGACAAACCTGGAATGCTTGAGAATACGGAATAAAAGCGAATGACACCTAAGTGAAGTATGGCAGAAGATTGCATGGACTTCTGCTGCCTCTGAAGGATCCGAACCCCTGAAGATGAGGCAAGCCCTCAGCGCCCCTTCAGCCCTAACCTGTTCAGCTCCACCCCAAGTATCTACGAGCAACCAAGGCCAGGAGCCAGACCTCCACCACTTCGCAAAGCAGAGTCCAACTCGGAGCCTACATGTTCAGATCCCTCGGCCTTCACACGCCTCACCTTCATCATGAGAGCTAAAGACCCTGGAGCAGGAAAGGGGATGCAACACCCAAGCCTGAAAGCCCCTCCGAACTCGGATGCTCGGGTCCACGCCGTCTCTCCCGGGTAAATCCTCAGGCTTGAGCTTTGAGGGTTGCCCACCATGGGACTGACCAGCTAGCCGGGAGCTTTGTTTCAGCAACTCCGCCGACATCACAGGGCTGGCTGGTCGCGGGTCTCTCCGACGGCTTTCAGCCTAAAGCACGACATTGCGAACCTTCGCCGATTGGTTCCATTCCGCCCATTGGGTGCGTGGTGCGCTCCCGGTCTAAATAAGATACAACGGGATTTGAGGTGACCATAATCAACATCAGCAGCAGAAACATCTCTACCATGGTAAACGACACCGAAAGGGTGGCTCCCAAACCCACTCACGACAAAACCAGGGTCTAGTCTAGCCTTCTCGGTCCAACCTGGCGGGAAAACCGGGTGCATCGGCTTCAGCAGCATAAGTCATGCCAGCAGAAAACTCAACAAAATTACAAGAATATCTGCATGACAAGTGATCCAGAACCGCCATCACAAAAGAGCGTCAGTTCAAAGTGTCCGGGCCCCAACAACATTAGCATTACTGAACGAGGACCTGCTGCCCGAGCACTGCAGGGTGTCTCCGAGGTGCAAAAGTTGGACCGGTAGGTCCTCGACCTCTCTGGTTGTGGATTTGGGCTTAGGGTTCTGATCTTCCTCTGGGCCACGTCCAGGGTTGACAAACTTAAAATCATTTTGGCTTTTCGCTCCCCGATTTGGCACAGCCTGGACCAGGCAAGGTTTAGGCTCAGGGACGGCTGCCTTCTGTGGCTCAAGGACACAACAGTATGTTCCAAAGAGCTCCACAAAGCCATGCCCATGACCACTACCCATGCAGAGCTCTTCAGCATTGACGGGCTCCACGGCCCGGAACTCTTCTGACATGGCAACCTAGAACGGTCGAAACCCTTGGACGACCCGACTGCACACTAAGACTGTCGACACACACACACACACACACACACACTCGCACGAAGCTGGCAAGGCAAGGTAAGGTCCCGAGCTTGCTACATGTACATGCCCGTTGCTTGTCTTATTCTGTACCCCGAGCTGCCCAATAAGGAGGATAGCAAAGAAGATTACAGATAAAAGTACTAATTCCATTGCGTGGGTTTCGGCATTACGGATGAGAATGTTTCGAGCTGTTTGCAGTTGCGGCCTGCGATAAACAACAGTGTGGGCGTATGCGGGTATAATTTTGCGGCGATTGGGCTTGCAAGCCACTGCTCAGCATCCCCTGCGATTTCGCAAGTCTGGTGCAAATGGGTTGAGGACGAAAATGCAAAGTATTCAAGCTAGCCTAGGCACTGTGATTAAGAGGCCAAGAGGCAGAGTGTTGTCAAATATCCGGTCAAGCTGCCTTCATTTTCACGCTGACACCCCAAGCGCTGCTAACGGTTGAACGAACTTTGAGCGGCCCGAACCCAAACTGTACAAGTTCTGGCCAAGCTTTGTTGTGGACTGTCGCACTGCAGCATTGTAGCTTTGGCACAAACACTTCTTTCCCGATGATGCACCAAGCTTCTTGTTGAATATGAGCAGTAAACTTTGGCCTTTGAGCCCTGTGGTAGGCAGTGGCTGCAAACAAACTGCCCAAGCTAAGCTGCGATGTGCCCGTGACATTGCCCATAAAAGTATCTCAAGATAGAAATGCCGAAGTTGAGCAACTCAAGGGATGACATAGCAACGAGTCACTACCCGACAACGAGGGCCAGTCCGTCAGTACTATGCACAACTTCGAGGTCAGTGCCTCTCTCCTGGTTCTCCCCCTCGTCTTCCAGCCGCCCCACAGGAACGATGGCTGGCGGCTGGCCATTGCGCCCCCGAGGCTTCAGGTTTAAGCCAGCCTTGTGGCGAGCGTGGAGTTTCCTCTGGAACTCGTTGTGCGCCTCGACCTTATTCTTGAAGCGGTCGTGGCGAAAGGTCATCGCCTGCGCCACGCCGTGCGCAATCCAAGCTTCCTGCTCGCATGCCTGAGCGGTGTCCCGCGCCATTTCATGCAAGGTCCAGGTGTTGTCGAGCAAACACCTCAAGTCTTGCACCTCAGCGGTGAGCTCCAGCTTTTCTGCCACGAGCTCCAGCTTTTCTGCCTCTGCCATTTGCAGTGCCGCTCTCAGCTGCTGGATCTGAGTAGCCTGATCGCAGCCTGCTCCGCTGTCCTCAGCCAAATCCGAAGGTGGGCAGAGATGGGTTCCGACGAAGTCCTGGTGAGACGCGCAGGCCTCTGCATCTCCGCACCAGCCACCTGTTTGGTCACCATGGTGAGCGCAGTGGTGCCACCGCCAAGAATGCCACGACTCGTCGCCGTGCTCCGCTGACCATTGCGGCTGAAGCCAACCATTCGCATCGGCCTCTCCGGAATAGGAAGCACAGAACTCATCCTTGAAGGAGGCAGCTGAGGCGTTGGCCCAGGACCTCATTTCAGGAGTCAAATGTTGTCTTCTATACGAAAACAAACATGCAGGACTAAATCAAGCGCTTGAGCCAAAATGGAACTAAGACTTTAAGGCAACGAGCAACAAGATGATTGAACTTTGATATATACGTTACTACAAGCTCATTATCAAGCCAACACGACAGACAGAATGGGCCGACACGCATCTTCATCATGAACACGATCACCAGCTCTTACAGAATCACACCATCGTCATTCCAACCCCTGGGCCTATCTTCACTAGCGGCACCGTCACACATCTTCTGGGGGCGATGGCCATGCGAAGCCCGGGAAGGGGCCTCCATGCTGTCCTTTGGAAGTCGGTGCGCATTGCTTGGGTGCAGCCTCAGAATGCTCTTGAGGCTTCTCAGGCTCTGCGTGTCGGGCACAGAGACTGCACTGCCCAAGGGGCCAAGGTCCAATGAAGGGTGCTCAGCCCCCGCTCTGCTTGCAGTAGCCCTGGGCTCTGCACGACAGCAGTTGCTGGAGCGCGCTGGAGGCACCGTTCTTTGCCCATGCCTCCATGGCAGGAGGTCGAGCCGGTGATGCAAAGGATGGGTATGAGGACGACGCAGGCGAGTTTGCTTCAAAAGATTCTGGATTCGATCTGGGCTTGATCAGGCCTCCAGGTGCTTGCCCAGTAACACGAAAGTGATCCTGGGCATAGGGCAACTTCAGGCCCCCAGCTGCTTCGATCCAGATTCGAAGCTGGTGAACTGACACTCGTAACAACCTTTTCTGATGTGCCGTGCGCTTTCATTGACCCGCCTGTGCAGCTTAACCCAAAACCTGCTGTCACGACCGTGACCTGAACCTGACACATCCGGCGTTTGTCAAGGTGTTGTTGATGTTGGTCGTTGTGTGTTTGTTGCTGTTGTTGTTGCTGTTG